GGAGGAGGAGGAGGAGGAGGAACAGGCGTAGAAGTACGTAGTAGGCAGCAGGTACCAGGTAGCAGGTTGTCGGCAGGCGGTAGTACTCAGCAGGCTCGGTAGCAGCAGTAGCGGTGGCAGTAGTAGCAGTCGACGACGACGAGTCCTCGTCGTCGACGAAGCTTCACAATGCTTGAGGCTTCAGCATTGGGTTTGTGGGCCACGCCTTAACATCTAGAAGTTGGCTTGGGGGGCTGCAGCGCCAGCCAGTACAACGGAGCAACCGGGACTGGATCCCCCTGGCCTTCTCTTAAAGCGTCCCTGTATTCGCCATTCCCACAGCCGCTTTCGACCATGGAAGTGCTCCTTGTAGGGATACTGGGCCTGGCCACATGTGTAAGGCTTCCGCTTTCTGAATTCGGACGGAGGGCAATCAGCGTTGGCAGCTGCAGCTGGTGTCATGCTGCACTATAACTACACGCAAAGAGATGTAGAAATCTGCCTTGGCCAAATCAGCGGGCTCTTTATCGTCATAGCTCCAGACCGGCCTGGCACAGCACAAGGCCGCGCGGCTCCTCGCTTACGTAGCTACCAAAAAAAGACACGCTTTTTGCATGGTGACAAGAGCGGTGAAGAAGGAGGGCGATGCGACGCCTGAGAGGGCTTGCGCGTAGCAGCGCAAAGCAAAAGGACAGCAGGTCTCAAGGAAGGCTTCTGGGCCCAATCCCCGCAACCTGCATCATCCAAAAAGCCAAATACAAGCTAAAATCGCACATGCCCGATGCCAGACGGAGAAACATATGAACCAAGCCCAAGCACTTCTCTCTTTCCCATTCCGATTCTCTGAAGCAGTTCCTCGAAGCAATGCAGCAGCTCACCGGGTAAGGTCTGGCCTGTGCAGCAGCACACACCTGTCCACAAGTGACCCCATGCCAGGACAGGAAAAGGCAGAAGATAGAACCAAAGAACCCCTTAACTCAAGCTGTCCGATCTGACATGCCTCGCTCTCTGTAAGGCGCGATTCTTCAAAATGGGGCAGTCTGCGCGGCTCGCCTTCCGACGAAGTTGTCGCACTCGAACTCCACCGGGGCACCATTTATCTGCATCGGCAGGAAGCCATTGCCGGGGCAACCTTGGACCGCCCCCTACGATATGCGGCTTTCGACTCAAGAGAGACCACTGAGGCAAGCACTCCGGGCATGAAGCACAAGGCCGTCTCCATCACCTGCCAATGTGGACTGCTTTGTCATCCGAGCTTGTGAAGGAGTCCACTCAAGGCTCTAAGCTTGGGTTTTGTGGCCGCTGCAGACCCGAAGACGACCCTGGAAGTGTGCGGGATCACTGTCAGAGAAAGCGCAGCACTTTTGCGGCCTTCATCCATCAGGGTCCGCCCCGCCGCTGGGCCGAGGGCAGAGGCATGGCGGCGTTTGTGTGGCGCGGGGGCTTCATCTCGTCTGTTCCCGCTTGGGTGGCGCTAGGTTGGGTTTAAGGTTGGGCGGCTCTGGGTGGTTGGGTTTGAGACAGTGCATGAAGCAGGCGCTCGGCCGGCTAGACTGGGTTTTTATGCAAATGCCGAAACCTAGGAGGAATCTTCCCGTCGCGCCAGAGATTGGCGAAGACGGGCGACAGCGAGCTTTGGTCAAATGCAAGAGGCGACACTTTCGAGAGGCTGACTGCTTGGGTGTTAGCGTTATTTCGGTGCCTTTGTTGTTGTTGGGTCCAACTTTTTGGACTGGTTTCCTCTTATTTGCATATATATGCATATGTCCACATATGTACCTATACATATGGACATATGCACATATATACATATCTACCTATGCAGCTACATACATACATACATACATACATAAATACATACATACGTACATACGTACATACGTACATACGTACCTACCTACATACATACATACATACATACATACACATGTACATGTACATGTACATATACATATACATATACATATACATATACATATACACATACATATACGTATGCATATACACATACATATACGTATACATACACATACACATGCTCATATACATATGCATACATGTAGGTATATGTATATACACATAAGCAGACATATGTATATATATATATACATATGTGTGTATGTGTATGAAGTGTGCCTGCAATATAGACATGTAGCAGGCTCCAATAGCCAGAAAAACTCTATAAATATGCACGGATTAAAATATCAATGTACCGCATATTCACATGAATATATATATATATGTACACATATAGGCCTTTTTACATAGACTTACGATATATATATATATACACATACATATATATATATATACATACATATATATATATATACACATACATATATATATATACACATACATATGATACTGTATATCGTGCATATGCTGTATGCTTCATGAACCTAACATCTATATGCTGTATATAAGCCACTATACATATATATATATATACATACATACATACATACATACATACATATACATATATATATATATATGTATATATACATACTATGTATACTGTATGTACTCTTCGAACTCTGTAATTACAGATACATGCTCTATGTAAAATAATGCATATATATATAAATGGATATGTGTGTATATATACAATACATGTACATATATATACACATGCGCACACACTTTTCCATATACTGTCTGTGTATATATATAATATTATATATATATGTACATATGTATATATATATATATAGATGTGTACACTCTATACTCTAGACAGAAGATACAGACACATCTGTATATGTGTACATCTATATATGCTTTTGTACTAGCTATACTAAGTCTATGCTTTTTAGTTCTAAATGCTGTGTGCACTGTCTTTACTGTAGATACCCCGCTATATTCTACATATGTACATATGTGGTTTCGTTGAGGTTCTTAGGTTGCGGCTTCTTTCATTGTCTCTTCCTTCCCTCAGTTGCTTCCTTCCTTCTTCCCTCCCTCAGTTGCTTCCTTCCTTCTTTCCTTCCGTCCTGCCTCTTCGTTCCGTCTTTCCTTTCCTAACTTTGAACCCGTCTTCCTTCTTTCCTTCGGTTCTTCCTCGCTTCCTTCCATACTCATGTCTTTCTTTCCTTCCTTCCTTTCTTCCTCCCTTCCCCTTTCCTTCCCTGTTCCTTTCCCGTTCCTTCCTTCCACGCGAAATAAAAGCAAGGACTTGCCTCGGGCTGCACAGGTTCGGAGAATTTCAATCTTGAAACGGCAGCTTTCACATCGTCCCCTCCGTCTTGTCTTGGGTGAAGCACTTCAGCTTGCGGCCTGAACGGCTTCAGATTTGCGAGGGATTTCCTCCGATTTCAAGTGAAACGGACTTTTCGGGCCAATTTTACGGCCAAGGCTAGGCTCCGGGAACCGAGAGCCTCAAGAGTTGCAACAGGAGCTGCATTCCAGCCAACGAAAGTCCGGGAAGAAAGCCTTCCTGGACAGTCTTTTCAGCTTGCCGCGTTCCCGTGGGCACGAATGCTTCTGCTTCCATGCGCATCCAAAATTACATCTCACTTGCAGGTCCAGCTGCGACCCTGCCATCAGCCCCCCACCAGGAGGAACTTTGGAAAATGCAGGACACTTCCTGCTGGCCTTCTGACTTGGCGTCAGGCAGGATTCTTTGCATGGCTTGGGACTGTAGCCTTTTGTCTTAATGTTTCGGCTTCGGTGGAATCTCAATCATGTCAAGCGCCTTTGCAAGGGATCCCCATGTCGCCAATGCGGGTAGGCTATGCTTGCTTTGCAGGCAGCCTGAACAAGAAAAGCTTCATGATATACAGATCTAAACTCTGCAAGCTCTCCACGTCAGGCGCATCATTCCAACAAGGAGCGCGCCCGCAAAGACCATGAAAGCACAAGCCGTCCAAAGGCCTCTTCTGCTAGCCTCCGTGCCTGGAGTACACAGGACCACAAAACAAAGGAAGGGTTTACATAATTGCAGGGTCGCAAGAGCCGAACCCCTTCTAAAGGTGCATGCCTGGAACTGGCGGAGTGCTCTCCCGCACATTACCCTCTCTCGAGATCAACTTTGGAGTGCGCCTATGAGTTCGCCGACGAAGGCAGAGCCACAGAAGATCCTTTGCGGCTCTCGTGGGCAGCGGACATTAACGGTCTTGTTATTGGGTAAGTTCCCTTGCAACAACTCCGGTGCTTCCATGGTGCCAACTAGCGGCTAGCGGCTAGCCTTGCTTAACAGGGCTTTGGGCCTGGCGGTTCAGGGTGCGCAGAACTGGACGAGAGGCACATGTATAAGAACTGTCAACAGGTAGTCGACGATCTTCCAGCGGCATTTGGCATCGAAGTAGAAGCAAAGGGCTATGAGCCTCAAGAGGCAGGACGTAAACTTCGTGCGTGACAAAGCCTCTCTGTACGGCTCAAGCCCCAGAACCGAAATCGGAAAATTAAACAAAAGCAAGAAACCCCAAAGCCCCCAATCCTGAAAGCTCAACTGGTGCCTGACTGCAACTTTGCGCCTGTCAGGAAGGATCCAACTTGATGCACACCTGAAGCCGTTCACATCTCTCACGACGCTCCCTCAACGCCAACCAAGTCCACCTTCGGTCCAAGACCCCAAACCCATAGCTCTGTGAATTCCTGGTGCGCCCCGGAAGTCATACTTACTGGCGGGGAACATCCGCATACAGAGGGACATCCACAATGCGTAGTCTCCAAGCACCACGGCCACAAAATGGGCAGCTGCAGCTCTCACGGGAACCCTAGCCTTCCAAAGCGCCAGGTGATCTTCGAGTGCTGCCACTATCGCCGGCGCTGTCATCCAAAAGATGTAGGTGGTGGAGAATCTTGTCGCAGAGTTTAAGAGTTCTTGCCGCAAAGGACCGCGCACGTACTCCGTGAAGGCCTGGGGGCTTGTCATCACAAGGCAGCAGTGCTACTGCTACTGCTGCTGCTGCTGCTACTACTACTACTGCTACTACTACCACTACCACCGCTATCACCACTATCACCACTACCACCACTACCACTACGACGAGCTCGCCCCCTCCTCCTCCTCCTCCTCCTCCTCCTCCTCCTCCTCCTGCACTGACAACAACAACAGCAAACAACATCAACAACAACGACGCCTACAACTCCTACCACGACGACGACGACGACTACTACTACTACTACTACTGCGACGACTAGTGTGACGACGACTACTACTACTCCTGCTGCTGCTTTTTCTTCGTCTTCGTCTGCTGGCTCCTACTCCTACTCCTACTCCTACTACTCCTACTCCTACTCCTACTCCACCTCCTCCTCCTCCTGCTCCTCCTCCTCCTGCTGCTGCCTCCTGCTGCTGCTGCTGCTGCTACAGCTGCTGCTACTGATATTACCACCACTGCGACTACCCAGTACTACCACTACGACGACAAGACGACGACGACGACGACGACGACGACGACCGCTACGACT